AAAAAAAGGAATAATATAGACACAATTTCTGTAGAAGACAAATTGATACAGTGCAAATATAAGATACCATTCCAGTCTGGAATCCTGTTACCCAGGGTCATTTATCCTGTGGTAAGAACAGACTGTCTGACACTGAACATTCCGGTTCAGCAAATGCTCCTTTGTCTCTGTGTGAGGAGATAAAATCCACTCAATCCACAGAGGTGGGGGACGGCGATGGAGCAAGGAGGGGAAACATGAATATGCAAATAGGATGCCTTAGGCAGGGACAACACTCCCTGATTGTGGAAATGACTGTTTTCCCTTGGTTATTCCTACCGGTGTGATCATAAGGAATTTATGTTTCTGTTGGCATTCTATTCCATGGGCTAGGAATAAAGACCAGTACCATAAATAATTCAAGAGGATGGGCCTATGAAGATGTGAATGTATTTCCTTTCCCTCAGGACAGATATCATCTTATACTGGGAACTGAGCTGGATGGTGTCATTTTACTCCTTGGAACATTAATGTCCCATTTCTCCACAGGACTGGCATTTATAAGAAGGCTTTTTACCCAAAAAAGCCTCACCTTCAGGAATTTCACAAGCCATTTTGGAATCCGCTGGCCGAATCAAAAAGAAAAAATAGATAGCATTCACCATAAAAACATTCCAAGATTTAGGCATATCTGTTATCTATCCTTCCATTCCCAGTCACACTAAACACCAAGTCAGGTACTTCCACGGTCTCCTACCTAAGTACACAAAATATCCTGTTTCTGGGGTCTCCTGGCCTCCAGTTCAGTCTATGTGCTATTTTCAGACCAACTTTCCTGAAGGACAACTGATCATATCACTCTCCTACCTAAAAACTTTCAATGGATCCCTTCTGCCTTCTCAATTCAGTTCAAACTCTTTTTGAAATGCAGATTTCAAAATCTGAAAGGCAAGATCCTTCACAGTTTGGTCCCATCTTCCTTTGCAGATCAATCTCCCACAACTTCCTCACAAATAGTCGTCTACTCTTGCCAATTCGGACAAGGCTACGTTCTCTGACCACGTGATCTGCTTCTCAGTCTCCAACGAGTTTGCCCTCCATGGAGAGTGCGCTCTTCTGAATGCTTACCTGTCAAATCTTACCCAGAATTCAAATAGAGCCTGAAAGGCTACTTCTTTCACAAAATGTTTCCTGGTCCTCCTTTCCCACACCCTTGGGGTATGAGCCTTCCCTGGTCTCTAGAGTCCCCAGCAGAATTAGATCTCATACTACATCACACCCCCATTCTGACCTGCACATTAGCCAGTTAAATTATAGAAATATCTTGTCAGCAGACTGCAAGCTCCTCAAAGGTGGGGATTGGGTGTAGGCTCAGTCTGATTTCCCCACACTACCTTGTGCAGATCTGCACATATAATGAGTGATCAATATATATTTCCTGAATACTGAAATGTACTTGAACACTGTTTCACATAAAACCTACTTTGGAAGACATAGGGGAAATAGAATGGGAAGCCTGGGAAGCAAAAGAAACTGGGAAAGATTTCGATTCATGCTACCTGCTTCTGTTGGGGAGCTGTTCAAAGAACAGCTCAGGATACTAATCTGGTATTTTAAGAGATGCTTCCAGCAGGTTACTAAAATTTCATTCAACTGAGTCACTGCTATTTACCAAGTTTTGAAGCAGGCACCCAGGTACAATGACTGATTAGAAATGGTCCCTGTTATATTAATAAATATTAACATATTTATTAATAAATATAATAAAGGAGCTTTAAAAAGTGAAAGTATAGGGCC